TTTTTATTTTAATTTTTCTACATCATTAATTCCTTTTCTCCCTTCAAAATGACAAAACGAAAGAATTCACCCCAAAAGAAAGAGCACGAAGAAACGACAGCCAGGGATTTAACCAACACAGATATAAGCAAGATGTCTGAACCAGAATTTAGAATCACAATAATAAGAATACTAGCTGGAGTCAAAAATAGATTAGAATCCCTTTCTGCAGAGATAAAAGAAGTAAAAAATAGAATGAAATCAAAAATGCTATAACTGAGCTGCAATCACGGATGGATGCATTGGTGGCAAAGATGGATAAGGCAGAACAGAGAATCAGCGATATAGAGGACAAACTTATAGAGAATAACGAAGCAGAAAAAAAAGAGGGAGATTAAGGCAAAAAAGCACGATTTAAGAATTAGAGAAATCAGTGACTCATTAAAAAGGAACAACATCAGAATCATAGGGGTCCCAGAAGAGCAAGAGAGAGAAATAGGTGTAGAAGCGTCATGTGAGCAAATCATAGCGGAAAACTTTCCTAACCTGGGGAAAGACACAGACATTAAAATCCAGGAAGCACAGAGGACCCCCACTAGATTCAACAAAAACCAACCATCAACAAGGCATATCATAGTCAAATTCACAAAATACTCAGGCAAGGAGAGAATCATGAAAGCAGTAAGGGAAAAAAGTCCCTAACCTACAAGGGAAGACAGATCAGGTTTGCAGTAGACCTATCCACAGAAACTTGGCAGGCCAGAAAGGAGTGGCAGGATATATTCAGTGTGGTGAATCAGAAAAATATGCAGCCAAGAATTCTTTATCCAGCAAGGCTGTCATTCAAGACAGAAGGAAAGATAAAAAGTTTCCCAGACAAACAAAAATTAAAGGAGTTTGTGACCACTAAACCAGCCCTGCAAGAAATCTTAAGGGAGACTCTCTGAGGGTAGAAAAGATGGAATATATATATATATATATATATATGGCAACAAAGATTAGAAAGGACCAGAGACCACCACCAGAAACTCCAACTCTACAAGCAACATAATGGCAATAAATTCATATCTTTCAGTACTCACTCTAAACGTGAATGGACTCAATGCTCCAATCAAAAGACACAGTGTAACAGAATGGATAAGAAAACAAGACCCATCTATATGCTGTTTACAAGAGACCCACTTTAGACCTAAAGATACCTTCAGATTGAAAATAAGGGGATGGAGAACCATCTATCATGCTAATGGTCAACAAAAGAAAGCCAGAGTAGCTATACTTATATCAGACAATCTAGACTTTAAAATAAAGACTGTATCAAGAGATGCAGAAGGGCATTATATCATAATCAAGAGGTCTATCCACCAAGAAGACCTAACAATTGTAGACATTTATGCACCAAATGCGAAAGCACCCAAATATATAAATCAAGTAATCACAAACATAAAGAAAGTCATCAGTAGTAATACCATAATAGTAGGAGACTTCAACACCCCACTCACAGCAATGGACAGATCATCAAATCAAAAAGTCAACCAGGAAACAATGGATTTGAATGACACACTGGACCAGAGGGATTTAATAAATATATTCAGAACATATCATCCTAAAGCAGCAGAATATACATTCTTCTCCAGCTCACATCAAACGTTCTCCAGAATAGACCATATACTGGGACACAAATCAGCCCTAAGTAAGTACAAAAATATCGAATTCATACCGTGCATATTTTCAGACCACAACACTATGAAACGAAATCAACCACAAAAAAAAATTTGGAAAGGTAACAAATACTTGAAGACTGAAGAACATCCTACTAAAGAATGAATGGGTTAACCAAGCAGTTAAAGAGGAAATTTAAAAGTATATGGAAGTCAATGAAAATGATAACACCACAACCCAAAACCTCTGGGATGCAGCAAAGGCAGTCATAAGAGGAAAGTATATAGCAATCCAGGCCTTCCTAAAGAAGGAAGAAAGATCTCAGATACACAACCTAAACTTACACCTTAAGGAGCTAGAAAAAGAACAGCAAATAAAACCCAAAACCAGCAGAAGACAGGAAATAATAAAGATTAGAGCAAAAATTAATGCTATCAAAACCAAAAAACAGTAGAACACATCAATGAAACCAGAAGCTGGTTCTTTGAAAGAATTAACAAAATTGATAAACCACTAGCCAGTTTGATCAAAAAGAAAAAGGAAAGGACCCAAATAAATAAAATCAAGAATGAAAGAGGAGAGATCACAACCAACACAGCAGAAATAAAAACAATAATAAGAGAATATTATGAGCAATTATATGCCAATAAAATGGGCAATCTGGAAGAAATGGACAAATTCCTAGAAACATATACACTACCAAAACTGAAACAAGAAGAAAAAGAAAATTTGAACAGACCCATAACCCGTAAGGAAATTGAATTCGTAATCAAAAATCTGCCAAAAAACAAGAGTCCAGGGCCAGATGGCTTTCCAGGGGAATTCTACCAAACATTTAAGGAAGAGTTAATACCTATTCTCTTGAAGCTGTTCTAAAAAATAGAAATGGAAGGAAAACTTCCAAACTTTCTATAAAGCCAGCATTACCTTGATTCCAAAACCAGAGACCCCACTAAAAAGGAGAACTATAGACCAATTTCCCTGATGAACATGGATGCAAAAATACTCAACAAGGTATTAGCCAACCAGATCCAACAATACATCAAAAAAATTACTCACCACGACCAAGTGGGATTTATACCTGGGATGCAGGGTTGGTTCAATATCCGCAAAACAATTAACGTGATTAATCACATCAATAAAAGAAAAGACAAGAACCAGATGATCCTCTCAATAGATGCAGAGAAAGCATTTGACAAAATACAGCATCCTTTCTTGATAAAAACCCTCAAGAAAGTAGGGATAGAAGGAGCATACCTCAGATCATAAAAGCCATATATGAACGATCCAGCACTAATATCATCCTTAATGGGAAAAAACTGAGAGCTTTCTCCCTAAGGTCAGGAGCAAGACAGGGATGTCCACTCTCATCACTGTTATTCAACATAGTATTGGAAGTCTTAGCCTCTACAATTAGACAACACAAAGAAATAAAAGGCATCCAAATCAGCCAGGAGGAGGTCAAACTTTCACTCTTCGCAGATGGCATGATAGTCTATATAGAAAACCCAAAAGATTCCACCAAAAAACTGCTAGAATTGATTCATGAATTCAGCAAAGTTTCAGGATAGAAAATCAATGCACAGAAATCGGTTGCATTCCTATACACCAACAATGAAGCAACAGAAAGAGAAATCAAGGAACTGATCCCATTTATAGTTGCACAAAAAAACACATAAAATAACTAGGAATAAATCTAACCAAAGAGGTCAAAAATATATATGCTGAAAACTATAGAAAGCTTATGAAAGAAATTGAAGAAGACACAAAAAAATGGAAAAAGATTCCATGCTCCTGGATAGGAAGAACAAATATTGTTAAAATGTCGATACTGCCCAAAGCAATCTACATATTCAAAGCAATCCCTATCAAAATAACACCAGCATTCTTCACAGAGCTAGAACAAACAATCCTAAAATTTGTGTGGAACCAGAAAAGACCCCCAAATAGCCAAAGCAATCTTGAAAAAGAAAACCAAAGCAGGAGGCATCACAATCCCAGACTTCAAGCTATACTACAAGGCTGTAACCAACAAGACAGTATGGTACTTGCACAAGAACAGACACTCAGATCAATGGAACAGAATAGAGAACCCAGAAACAGACCCACAAACGTATGGCCAACTAATCTTTGACAAAGCAGGAAAGAATATCCAATGGAATAAAGAGAGTCTCTTCAGCAAGTGGTGCTGGGAAAACTGGACAGTGACATGCAGAAGAATGAATTTGGACCACTTTCTTACACCAGACACAAAAATAAACTCAAAATGGATGAAAGACCTAAATGTAAGACAGGAAGCCATCAAAATCCTCGAGTTGAAAGCAGGCAAAAACCTCTTAGATCTTGGCCACAGCAACTTCTTACTCAACACGTCTCCGGGGGCAAGGGAAACAAAAGCAAAAATGAACTACTGGGACCTCATCAAAATAAAAAGCTTCTGCACAGCAAAGGAAACAATCAGCAAAACTAAAAGGCAACCGACAGAATGGGAGAAGATATTTGCAAATGACATATCAGATAAAGGGTTAGTATCCACAATCTATAAAAAACTTCTCAAACTCAACACCCAAAAAACAAATAATCCAGTGAAGAAATGGGCAAAAGACATGAATAGACAATTCTCTAAAGAAGACATCCAGATGGCCAACCGACACATGAAAAAATGTTCCACATCACCCATCATCAGGGAAATACAAATCAAAACCACAATGAGATACCACCTCACACGTGTCAGAATGGCTATTAACAACTCAGGCAGTAACAGATGTTGGCGAGGATGCGGAGAAAGAGGATCTCTTTTGCACTGCTGGTGGGAATGCGAGCTGGTGCAGCCACTCTGGAAAACAGTATGGAGGTTCCTCAAAAAATTCAAAATAGAACTACCCTATGACCCAGCAATTGCACTACTAGGCATTTATCCACGGGATACAGGTGTGCTGTTTCAAAAGGACACATGCACCCCCATGTTTATAGCAGGACTATCAATAATAGCCAAAGTATGGAAAGAGCCCAAATGTCCATCGATGGATGGATGGATGGATAAAGAAGATTTGGTATATATATTCAATGGAGTATTACTCGGCAATCAAAAAGAGTGAAATCTTGCTATTCACAACTACATGGATGGAACTGGAGGGTATTATGCTAAGTGAAATTAGTCATAGAAAGGCAAACATCATGTGACTTCACTTATATGAGGGCTTTAAGAGACAAAACAGATGAACGTAAGGGAAGGGAAACAAAAATAATATAAAAACAGGGAGGGGGACAAAACAGAAGAGACTCATAAATATAGAGAACAAACTGAGGGTTACTGGAGGGGTTGTGGGAGGGGGGATGGCTAAATGGGTAAGGGGCACTAAGGAATCTGCTGAAATCATTGTTGCACTATATGCTAACTAATTTGGATGTAAATTTTAAAAAATAAAAAAAATAAAATTAAAAAGCAGGAGAAATCATATCAATCCTGGTGCTTCTTTCAGACCGACAAGTGTGAAATTTAAGCAGCAAGCACCACGAGGGGCTCAGCTAAAACCACCGAGACCATCCAGTACCCAACAATACATCTCCTCCCTCTAGAGGTCAGATGACAGTCTACACTGGCTGCTTTACCAACTCAGACACTCAGGCTCCTGTGCTTCCTGCCAGCCAGCCAGCAATGGAAATCTTGCCAGAGTCTACTTCATGTCACTCTTCCTGCCTTCTCCATTGTCCCTGCCTCTGGCCCCCAAGGCCGATGCTCGGCCAAGGTCCTTCCCCTCTCATTGGTTTGCCTGACCAAATGTATGAAGTCCACACTCCAATGTAAATAATAAATGACATTTGCCCAGTAACCTAAGGTTCAGGGTTTGCTTTTGCATCAATTATCTGATTGAACCCTATCCCTGTGACATGCATAGACCCCTTTTTTTAATGTTTATTTATTTATTTATTTTGAGAGAGAGAGACCGAGATGGGGGGGGAGGGGCAGAAAGAGAGGGAGACACAGAATACCAAGCAGGTTCCACGCTGTCGGCACAGAGCCTGATGCAGGGCTTGATCTCACAAACCTCAAGCTGATGACCCGAGTCATCAAGAGGCGGACATTTCACCGACTGAGCCACCCAGGTGCCCCAAGAGACCCATTTTATAGGTGAGCAGACTGAGCAGTACAAAGAAGTGACTGACTCAAAATCACACAGCTAGTTAGCACGCTGAGACAAGCACTCGTCCAGTCTGAACCCGAAGCGTGAGCTTTTCCAGCTACGCTACAACAGACCTCAAAAGGGGGAAATTTTCTGGCTAATGTGAAATACAGAGAAGAAGCTCCCTGGGCTCGGACCTAGTTTGCGGAGACATGGCTAAATGCACCTAGAAGGTCGGAAGCCTCGGTAAATAGGGGACCCGTCATGGTGCCTCCCACAGGAAAATGGCGAGAGAGATTGAAATAAGCCAGCACACTGAGTACACTTGCTCCTTCTGTGGCATCACCAAGATGGAAGACGAGCTGTGGGGATCTGGCTGTGGTTCCTGCATGAGAACGGTGGCCCGTGGCTCCTGGCCCTACAACACTGCGTGTGCCGTTACCGTAAAGTCAGCCATCAGACTGAAGGACTTGAAAGACCAGTAGAAACTCCACCATTTGAAACGTTGCTAGCCTATAATAAATGGGTTAACTTATGTAACAAAATTTAAAAAAAAAAAAGCAATGAAGAATAAGAGAGGTGTGGAGTTTCCTCATTTTAACAAGGATCACAGGGTGGGAAAGGTACTAAAGTGAAACTCGACACAGCAGAAAGGATCATGTTACATCTAAGCAGATACAGTAAAACCTTGGGTTGCCAGCATAATTTCCTCCAAAAATACGCTTGTAATCCAAAGCACTTGTATATCAAAGCGAACTTCCCCATTAGAAATAATGGAAACTCAGATGACTTGTCCCACAACCCAAAAATATTCATATAAAAATGATTACAATACTGTAGTATAATACAAAATAATAAATAAAATACAAAATATAAAGAGAAATAAACAAATTAACCTGCACTTACCTTTGAAAACCTTCATGGCTGGTGTGACGGAGACAAAAGAGAAGAGGGTTATTGTGTAGGACGACTTTCACTATCACTGACACAATCACTGCTATCTATCGGCTCCATGAAAGTTTTTTCTGCGTGGGGACCATTGTACACACTCGCACGGATGTTTACCACAGTATAGTATTAATAAACTCTCATCATATACTGTATTTAATGTAACTTGCAAAAAGGCAGCAGAGGAAAGGGTCTATATCTGCAGGCTGCCTGAAGATATGAATGAAACAAAGCATTCCTATGCTTACTCTCATATGGAAAAGCAAAGGACTGTCCATAGGTGCTTTGAAGTGACCAAAAATACACTAGTGCCTATTGTGGGCATCTTCCAACGTTATGAAAAATCACTGATTTCTGCCAAACACCGCAGCCTGATACCTAGCATCTGAGCATGGGAGACAATCACGTACAATTCCCCAGCAAGAGAGAAAGAGAGAACCATTGACTCAGTTGTGATCTTGTGACATTGTACTACTTGTACATGTACTACTTGTATTATAAGACATCGCTCATTTATCAAATTAAAACTTACTCGAAATGCCTGCTCGTCTTGCGGAACACTCACAGAACAAGTCACTCGCAATCCAAGGATTTGCCATATAGGAATTGGGCCCTGTGGGGCTGATTCATTTAGGTTCAGTAGCGCAGCAGTCTACGGCTCAAGGTAGGGTCAAGCTCTGCTCCAACTGGTGGCGGGAGCCTGACATTCCAAAGGCCCAGGCAGGGGCGCCTGGGTGGCGCAGTCGGTTAAGCGTCCGACTTCAGCCAGGTCATGATCTCGCGGTCCGGTAGTTCGAGCCTCGCGTCGGGCTCTGGGCTGATGGCTCAGAGCCTGGAGCCTGTTTCCGATTCTGTGTCTCCCTCTCTCTCTGCCCCTCCCCCGTTCATGCTCTGTCTCTCTCTGTCCCAAAAATAAATAAACGTTGAAAAAAAAAAACAAAAACAAAAAAAAAACAAAGGCCCAGGCAAACAACAGCTGTTTCATGAGTCAGGTGAAGACACACTCCTCATGAGCTATCACCTGCCTGACGTATTCCAGCTCATGTGAGACACAGAGTCTCCTGCAGGCATCATGTCACATGATGGACATCTCATCGTTTTGCAGCTGCAGACATCTCAGAATAACGAGGTACTGTTTCCCAGTGACCCTGGAGTGAGTCCTTACAGATACCAAAATTTTCAATAAAACGGTGGCCCAGAGTTCTCAGTGCCTGACCCTAGTCCATTTCTGGATTGAATCCCTTCCGCCTTCCCCAGGCAAGATCTTTGAACAGGCTCTCCATAAAAGATGGTTTATAAATGGCCAATAAACATACGAAAAGATGTTCAATTTCACAAGTCCTTATGGAAATACAAGTGAAACCACAATGTTATACTACTACACATCCAACAGCATGGCTATGGTGAAAGAGACAGGAAATTCTAAGTCTTGGCAAAGAGATGATACAACTGGATTGTCCCTATACTGCGAGTCGGGGGGGGGGGGTAACTTGGTACAACTACTTTGAAAAACTGTTGGCATACACCTCATGACTCACTCCTAGGTATATCCCAACAGAAATGCTTACATATGGGGGCGCCCGGGTGGCTCAGCTGGTTAAGTGTCCAACTTCAGCTCAGGTCATGATCGGGTGGTTCGTGGGTTTGAGCCCCACGTCAGGTTCTGTGCTGACAGCTCAGAGCCTAGAGCCTGCTTTGATTCTGTGTCTCCCTCTCTCCCTGCACCTCACCCTCTCATGGTCACTCTCGCTCTCTCTCTGAAAAATAAGTAAACATTAAGAGTTTCTTATGGTTCATCTTCCTCTCTGTTTAAAAAACAGGGGGGAGGGGTGCCTGCGTGGCTCAGTCGGTTAAGCATCCAACTTCGGCTCAGGTCATGATCTCACGATTTGTGGGTTCGAGCCCCGCGTCGGGCTCTGTGCTGACAGCTCAGAGCCTGGAGCATGCTTCAGATTCCCTGTCTCCCTCTGTCTCTGCCCCTCCCCTGGTCACGCTCTGTCTCTCTCTGTCTCTCAAAAATAAATAAATGTAAAAAAAAAAAAAGAAATGTTTACGTATATTAACGAAATATATGTGCAAGAAGGTCATAGAAGCTTCATTCCTAATAGCCTTATACTGAAAACAACTCAATGTATATCAACAATAGAATACATAAATAAATTGTGGTATATACAGACAATGGAATATAAGGCAATGAAGATATTTGATTGTCCCTACACATAACACAAGTGAATCTCACAAAGATAATGTTGAGAGAAAGAAATTAAACACATCACAAAAAATACATGTGTAGTGCATACAGGTGTACTTCTATGAAGTTCAAAGGCAGGCAAAAGTAATGGATGGTAAGGACAGGAGGCGGCATAAAGTAGGTTTCTGGGACTCTGACAATATCCGGTTTCTTAATCTGAGGACAGGTTACCTGGAAGTTTTCACTTCATGATAATTCATCAAACTATACAGTGATAATTTGCTTACTGTCCTTAATGTGTGTAATACTTCAATACAGGACTTTAAGACTCTATTAGTTTGAAAGGAATACAGGACACATATATGTTTAAATGGTGGTGGGTTAGATTTGTGGAGACAATCTCACATATTTCCAAGCTGGCCGAGCAGGTTGACAATTAGAGTCATAGATAGTTGGAAACAGCTACAGATGGAGTAGCTGTGTGCTGCAAATATGAAAAAAGGAGTCTGAACAAGACTCAAAAGATAGAATGGATGGCAAGTAGCAGAGACGGCAAGTGTGGCCGGCTGTTGGTCTAGACCAGACCTGCACTTAAACAGATACGGATCGCTTCCACAAGCACCCTCACCCCACATAAAGGAAGCCTTTTCAATAAACCCTGTTAGGTATCGGCCACAGCAGGTGTTGTTGGCCACATCCATCCATTAATTCATCTTCTATTCATTTATCAATCCATCTCATGTACTGGTTCTCAGACTGGGTCCCAAGGATACCTCAAAGGTTCACTGATGGATGATTCTTGGGGGTGCCCATGAAATTTTTCCTATAAAGGGGACCATAAATAACTTCCATTTTGGAAATCCTGAGCAAGAGGGTCAAAACCTTGTCCTAAAAAAATCAACAAGAGACACAAAGGTATGGGGCGCCTGGGTGGCTCAGTCGGTTAAGCGTCCGACTTCGGCTCAGGTCATGATCTCGCGGTCCGTGAGTTCAAGCCCCGTGTCAGGCTCTGTGCTGATGGCTCAGAGCCTGGAGCCTGCTTCAGATTCTGTGTCTCCCTCTCGCTCTGACCCTCCCCTGTTCATGCTCTGTCTCTCTCTGTCTCAAAAATAAATAAACGTTAAAAAAAATTAAAAAAAAAAAAGAGAGAGACACAAAGGTATGTAAGACACAGTCCCTTGAAAATTATGTCACAATATAATGTTGAATAAAAGAACAAGTTGCAAAATTATATGCAAGATTATTGGATAATCTCAGTCTTGCTAAAATAAGTGTATGTGCATGAAAAACCTGGATGGATACATCCTCAGGTGTGTTCTTTCTGGATGATAGGGTTGTGGGCGATTTTATTATTTGCTTTTCTGAGCTTTTCTGTATTTTGCACATTTTCTATCACAAATATACATATTACTTTGGAAATTTAGGCAAAAATATGTAAATTATGTTTAAAAAGATCGGGGTACCTGTGTGGCTGTCAGTTAAGCATCTGACTCTTGGTTTCAGCTCACAGTTCACGGGATCAAGACCCGTGTCGGGCTCTGTACTGACAGCACAGACCATGCTTGGGATCCTCTCTCTGCCTCTCTCCCAACTCATGCACGAGTACATGTGCTCTCTGTGTCTCTTTCAAAACAAAAAATATTTAAAAAAAAAGAGAGAGAGATCCCTTCCTGGCCAGAAGGCATATAAAAATCATACAGGGGTGCCTGGGTGGCTCAGTCAGTTAAACATCTGACTCTTGATTTTGACTCAGGTCATGATCTCCCAGTTTGTGGGATCAAGCCCCATATTGGGCTCTATGCTGGGCATGCAGCCTGCTTAAGATTCTCTCTCTCTCCCTCTGCCCCTCTCCCTTGCACTCTCTCTCTCTAAAACAAACAAAACAAAACAAAAAACGTACAGTTCCTAGCTAAAGGTACTTAGGCTCTCACATAAATGATAAAAAGACTTAAGCATGTGTTATTTATTTAATCCCTATCATAGCTTAGCCTCTATCTTACAGTAGTTCCTCGGTTTCTGGGAGAGGGAATGTGAGGGCTACGGATTCCAAAGAACGCCCAGCAGAGGGCCGCCTGCAGAAGACACCTGTCTACAAAATAATCAGCATCACTGTTACAGAACCAACAGCCGACATGGGGTACCCGGCCAAGGCCAGCACTGTTACAAGCACTTTGCGTGTTTTTTTTTTTTAATTTTTTTTTTCAACGTTTATTTTTTATTTTTGGGACAGAGAGAGACAGAGCATGAACGGGGGAGGGGCAGAGAGAGAGGGAGACACAGAATCGGAAACAAGCTCCAGGCTCCGAGCCATCAGCCCAGAGCCTGACGCGGGGCTCGAACTCACGGACCGCGAGATCGTGACCTGGCGAAGTCGGACGCTTAACCGACTGCGCCACCCAGGCGCCCCCACTTTGCGTGTTTTAACTCATTTCGTATTGACAACAGCTTTCCGCAGCGGGTAG